TTATGACGTAGCTGTAAACATTGATGTGATGTGTGGTTTACCATTAATTACACTGCAGTAGGATAAAATTTGAAAAAAGGCAGGACAGGAGTTTTGAGTAAGAAAAGGGCAGAATGAGTAACTTTGCAAAAAAAAGGCAGGTTGACAATTTATGTAAAAAAGTCAGGATAAACTTATAAAAAAAGGCAGGACCGAATAGAGTGAAAAATAAAAAGGCAGGAGAGAGATTACAACTAACAAAAATGCAGGACAACATTTTTCATCCTAGCCCATCCCAACCTGCAGCTGTATACATTCATCTAATGTGTGTCTTACTATTTATTAACGTGCAACTGTAAACATTCATCTGATGTGTTTTACCTGTTATTACCCTGCAGCTCTTTACATTCATCTGATGTGTGAATTACCAATTATTAACCTTTGCAGCTATCTGCATTCATCTGATATGTGTTCTACTATTTATAATCCTGCAGCTGTTAGCATTCATCTGATGTGTGTTTTATCATTTATTACATGGCAGCTGTTAACATTAATCTGATGTGTGGTTTACCAATTACAACCCTGCAGCTGTTTACATCATCTGATGTGTCTTTTACTATTTATTACTCTGCAGCTGTTTACATTCATCTGATATGTGTTTTGCCATTTACAACCCTTCAGCTGTTAACATTCATCAGATTTGCGTTTTACCATTTTTTTACCTACAGATGTTAACATTTATCTGATGTGTTTTTTACCATTTATTACCCCGCAGCTGTTAATATTCATCTGTTGTGTTTTACCTGTTATTACCCTGCCGCTGTTTACATTCATCTGATGTGTTTTACCTGTAATTAACCTCTGCAGCTGTTTATATTCACCTAATGTGTGGTTTATCATTTATTACCCTACAGCTGTTTATATTCAACTAATGTGTGGTTAACCATTTATCACCCTAAAGCTGTTAAAGTTTATCTGATGTATGTTTTACCATTTATAACCCTGCAGCTGTTAACATACATCTGATGTGTGTTTTACCATTTATTACCATGCAGCTGTTAACATTCATCTGGTGTGTGTTTTATTATTCATTACCCTATAACTGTTTACATTTATCTGATGTGTGTTTTACCATTTATTACCCTGTAGCTGTTTACATTCATCTGATGTGTGTTCTACCATTTATTACCTTGCAGCTGTTTTAATTCATCTGCTGGATTTTACCTATCATTACCCTACAGCTGTTTACATTCATCTGATGTGTGTTTTACCATTCATTACCATGCAGCTGTTAACATTCATCTGGTGTGTGTTTTATAATTCATTACCCTACAACTCTTTACATTCACCGCATGTGTGTTTTACCATTTATTACCCTGCAGCTGTTCACATTCATCTGATGTGTGTTCTACCATTTATTACCTTGCAGCTGTTTAAATTTATCTCCTTTGTTTTACCTGTCATTACCCTACAGTTGATAACATTCATCTGATGTGTGTTTTACCATTTATTACCCTGCAGCTGTTAACATTCATCTGATGTGTGTTTTACCATTTATTACCCTGCAGCTGTTTAAATTTATCTGATGTGTGTTTTACCTGTCATTACCCTACAGCTGATTACATTCATCTGATGTGTGTTTTACCATTTATTACCCTGCAGCTGTTAACATTCATCTGATGTGTGTTTTACCATTTATTACCCTGCAGCTGTTACCATTGATCTGGTGTGTGTTCTACCATTTATTATGCTGCAGTTGTTTACATACATCTAATGTGTGTTTTACCATTTATTACCCTGCAGCTGTTTACATTCATTTGATGTGTTTTACCTGTCATTACCCTACAGCTATTTACATTTATCTGATGTGTGTTTTACCATTTATTACCCTGCAGCTGTTTAAATTCATCTGATATGTGTTTTACCATTTATTACCCTGCAGCTGTTTACATTCATCTTGCGTGTAATCTACCATTTATTACCCTGCAGCTGTTTACATGCATCTGATGTGTGGTTTACCATTTATTACCCTGCAGCTGTTAACACTGGCATGTGTTTTATCATTCATTAACCTGCAGCTGTTTACATTCACCTAATGTGTGTTTTACCAGTTATTACCCTGCAGTTGTTTACATTCATCTAATGTGCATTTTATCAATTATTACCCTATAGCTGTTTACATACATCTAATGTGTGTTCTACCATTTATTATCCTGCAGCTGTTAACATTCATCTGATGTGTGTTTTACCATTTATTAACCTGCAGCTGTTTACATTCACTTGATGTGCGTTTTAGCATTCATTACCCTGCAGCTGTTAACATACATCTGATGTGTGTTTTTTTACCATTTATTACCCTGCAGCTGTTTACATTCATCTGCTGGATTTTACCTGTTATTACACTACAACTGTTTACATTCATCTGATATGTGCTTTACCATTTATTACCCTGCAGCTGTTAACATTCATCTGATATGTGTTTAACCTGTTATTACCTTGCAGGTGTTAACATTCATCTGAACTGTGGTTATCATTTATTATCCTACAGCTGTTAACATACATTTGATGTGTGTTTTACCATTTATTCTCTTCAGCTGTTAACATTCATCTGATGTGTGTTTTATCGTTTAGTAACCTGAAGCTGTTAACATTCATCTGGTATGCGTTTTATCATTCATTAACCTGCAGCTGTTTACATTCACTTGATGTGTGTTTTACCTGTTATTACCCTGCAGCTGTTTACATTAATCTGATATCTGTTTAACCTGTTATTACCCTGCAGTTGTTTACATTAATTTGATATCTGTTTAACCTGTTATTACCCTGCAGCTGTTTACATTAATCTGATATCTGTTTAACCTGTTATTACCTTGCAGTTGTTTACATTAATCTGATATCTGTTTAACCTGTTATTACCCTGCAGCTGTTTACATTAATCAGATATCTGTTTAACCTGTTATCACCCTGCAGCTGTTTACATTAATCTGATATCTGTTTAACCTGTTATTACCTTGCAGTTGTTTACATTCGTCTTATGTGTGTTTTACCATTAATAACCTATATAACTCATTCCATTTCCTTATTTACTGTGGATTCATTTATTTTCGTGGGTATCAATTTTCGTGGATAGAGAAAAAAGACGTTTCGTGGTTTACGTAAATTCGTGGATCGCTGATTACAAAAAAAAATTCAGATACGTAATTCGTGGATTTCTTTTTCATTTAGGAGATCATATAACCTCCTTGATTTGATCAATAATAAAACAAACAAAAAAGAAGGAATTCATTGAAAAAGTTTTGAATCGTCAAAATCCTTGCTTGGTCATTCTAGGTTACAGTGTTCATTGAAAACTTCTATTGAAACAATGGACAGAGACAACTAATTATTTGTTTGTTTTACAATTTATAAAATCTTGTCGACATTTTATAAGGCGTTCAAAACTTTATGATTGAAAGCTCATTTCCGTAATCACAATATTATAAACAGTCATATAAGTAAAAGGTGTGAAAATAAATGTTCCTGTCATAAACAATATTACATACGGGCTGTATATACACGTACTTAATCCTATTGATTTTTAATCACCAGTAAACCAAACTATGACACGGTAATTGACAACTTGCAGTTATTTTCCATGAACAGTTTTAATCAATTTTAAAAAGTAAATTATCACTGATATTCAACATATTTATTATTGATTTAATCAAAATACTTGTATCTTCTTTCAATAAAAACATGTGTTATGTTACAATGTATATCGCTAGTCAACACTATACTAGAACTGCATGACATAACCGGAAATAAACGCGCGACTCTATACACATTTCTCGCGATTATTCTTCGTTGAATTCTTAAATTCGTGGTTCGCTGTGACCCATGAAACCCACGAAAATTGGTATACCACGAATAAAAATGAATCCAGTAGATACTTTTTATGTTTATTTGAGGGAAGTCGTGTTGTCTGTTATTACCTTGTAGGTGTTAACATTCATCTGATGTGTGGTTTATCATTTATTATCCTGCAGCTGTTTACATACATTTGATGTGTGTTTAACATTTATTCTCTGCAGCTGTTAACATTTATCTGATATGTGTTTTATCGTTTAGTAACCTGCAGTTGTTAACATTCATCTGGTATGCGTTTTATCATCTCTAACCTGCAGCTGTTTACATTCACTTGATGTGAATTTTACCATTTATTACCCTGCAGCTGTTAACATACATCTGATGTATGTTTTACAATTTATTACCCTGCTGCTGTTTACATTCATCTGCTGGGTTTTACCTGTCATTACCCTACAGCTGTTTACATTCATCTGCTATTAGATTTAAGGGAGTACAGAACACTTAAGTGAGTTTACTCTCTAAAAATCAGCTGAACGCTTTAATCTACTTTTATCATTTAAGAGAAATCAAGCTTCTCAATGATCAAAATTAGTGTAATTCAAATTGCAATATATCCAATGAAATTATTCCTGTACATTGTGTGGTTCAATTGTCTTGATTTTTTTAAAATTTTTGCAACAGGTCAAAATAAATGTTTTGTCAAAATTAAATTGAAATTAAACGAGCCAAATCTATTTTAGTAAAAGTGTTGTAAAAATCTAACTAAGAATATATCTTTTTTTTAATATGTATTGTAAATGGTACACGTTTGTATGTATTTTTTATTGTTTATTAAATTATCTCATGTATTTGGTAGCAATTCCATTGTTTGGATTTTACTCTAATAAATATCTCTATCGTTGGGTTTTTAGTAAAATTTAACAGACAATAGTTATTATTGGGTTTTTATGAACATTCATAGATTGAAAATTGAATTTGAATGCAGATATTTGATATTTAAATTTGAATCGATTCAAAACTTTTGTAGACTTGTAAACCGTATGTTTTAGTTGTTGGGTCGATGCCTTAGTAAAGTCTTCCTATTTATTCCTGAATATCTATAAATCAAGATTTCCAAAAGTTAGTTATTTGTTCAAGGTTGCCTAGGAAACGCTGGAAACAACAACAACAACAAATTAATAAAATATTTTCAATTTTATTTTTTTAACATTTATGTGACCATTTGAGCATAATAACCAACAAACTATAATTAACAGTAATTGACATACAAACATACATACCACGAATTTAAGAACGCAAACTTAACAGTTCAGCATAGCTTAAACTTAAAAGATTTCATGTGGGATCCCTGATTTTCCAAAGACAAGACATAATTATGCACAAAGAAATCTTACTATTTTCAGACATGCTTACAATACGGAACAATATTGCCTGACAAGAGTGCAGATTTTCTAAATATATATCTTTTTTTTATATTAATGAAGTATGAAAAACTTCCGCCATCTTGTATGGTTAAAATAGCAGAAAACAATCGGTCCAGATTTTTAATGAAGACTGCAATTTTTTAGACAGGAAGGCTTTCTTTTATTAGATTTTCATTAAAAGAAGAAAATTGTGTGATTTTATAGTATTGTTACGATTGTTTTTACAAATAAAGAATATTGTTTGACTGATTAAAAAATCAAAACTTAGAGAAGGGCGATGACTCGAATAATAATTTTTTCCAGGAATGTAGAGTAAGTTTTTCTATTTTGTAGTATCCAGGAATGTAGAGTAAGTTTTTCTATTTTGTAGTATAGAACTATTAAAAGCATGGTGATAACACTTTACTCCCTTAAAAATATTTTATAAGAGCCATTTTCTTATATTTTATTCAAAAATTCTGTCATTTTGTCTTTTTCTTTTCACACAATAGTGTTTTTTCCTGTATATTAAATACAAAATGTGACCATTTATCCCCACCTTTAGCTTGAAAACAAGCTGAGTGCCCTATGACTTTTATTATATTTTTTGGGGGGAAAAACAAACGATGTAAACAACATTGTGATAAGGTATGAAATAATTCAGTCATTCCCATACTACTTTAATATTTACCGCTTATAAGGTTTTCTCCATATTGATACTGTCAAATATCAGCAGCAAATTACAAAGTGAAGCTTTCAATAGAGTGAGAGCAGCGTTCAAAAAGGCTTTATATTGTGTCTAGCAGCTAATATTTTACAATATCATTATTATGAAAATCTGAAAATCGATTTTTCGGATTGTATTTAAGTGTTTCGTGATAGAACCAATAGTTTTTCTTTGCTTTACATGCAAACGGGAAGTTGACTTGATAAAGTCTTGCCAATTATTTTGACGTCGGTGATAAGACCAGGGTGAAGTTGTTAAGGCTGGGCCATGTGTATTTGTAGTCACAAAGCCATGATATGCAATTTGATGTAAGGTGATTTAGATACAGGGAAACCAACAAATCAAAGTTGTTACTTTTAAATTATATACATACGTTGATTTGTCTTTCGCAGGACATTACATATTATGCACAATATCCAATCTAATTACATACATACAGAGCTATATGCAACAATGTAACATTATATCAAATACAGCGGTAGTAAGACTTCAAGTCATCCATTACTGTAAAAACAGTAAAAATAAATTTCCATTACCGCAGCGACAAAAAACTTTTTTAACTGTAGCATAATTTGCATGATTGCCAAATAAATAGTGGTCATAAATAGACATTACAATTCCAACAATGACAGTTGGTCTGTGGCTCTATGTTAATTGTCTAAACCTAGAATTAATCCACAGACAGAAATCCTATTCTATACTTATTTCACACAATATTTGTTATATAGGGATGATTAATTGCTCAGAACGTTTCGGCAGTAAGGAATTTTGAAAAATGGTGATTTGCTATAGCTTTCTGACAAATCAAATTATAGATTTTTTTTTTTTTTATTATTTTTAGCCTTATCTGATTAACAAGTGTTAACAACGACAAATTTACATGGGCGGAACTAAGTAGTTCAAAAATTTTCCAGCAAGATTTAATTTGTGACATTATTTAAAAAAATCAATCAATTTGTTTTGTCGTCAACTACGACCATTTAAATATAAAAAAAGCATGTTAGTGTACAAAGAATTAATTATAGAAAACAAATATTATTTGAATTGATTTGTTATTTTGTATTAATTTGAGGTAAAATAAGAATATATTTGTTATTTTGTATGTTGTTTTTTTTAATTTGAGGTAAAATATAACTATAAAAGCATTTCTTATAGTTAACTGTTCTATATTTGTATTACTAGTCTATACAATGATACTCATGGTTCTTTTTATCTATTTGCACTTATAACTGTTATTGTTTTAATGAATCTATTAATTCTTGGTGTTGCATGAAAGATACCAAGTATGTAAATACGAAATATATTGGATAAGTTCAATGTTTATGTCGCATATCTGTCTTTCACTACAAATTCTACCCGCATTATCCAATCCTATATCTAACCTTCACCGAAATTAAGTAGACCTATGTTGATTAGAACTCGGAAGCTCAATCATTATAATGCTGAAGTTCTAAAGAAGTAAATATTGTAAACCATCATCTGGATGTTAACCTGGTCGATAAGTCCCGACTACTCTTTGTGATCGATAAGTTATGACTTATTTTTGTGGTCGATAAGTTTTTTTGGTCGATAAGTTTCGACTACTCTTTGTGATCGATAGGTTATGACTTCTATTTGTGGTCGATAAGTTTTTTGTGGTCGATAAATTCCGACTACTTTTTGTGGTCGATAAGTTCCGACTACATTTTGATGTCCCAATGATATTTATACAAACTAAATGACTCTGTGAACATACCATAATAATGAGGATCCCAACTTGGTGAGAATGTTTACTTAAAATGTTTCACTAATACCGGTGCATCGAAAAAAGAAGAATTAAATGTCTGCTGATTAATTTAACAGATGTTCGTCATAAAAGCCTTTCTTCATTTCAGGTCTCGAACTGCTTATTTGTTTCCCTGTTCCTTTCGTCCAACTAATTTCCATCAAGTTGCAATTTATCTGCTGCAGTTCTATACATATTACATACATGTATGTTAGTTTAAGATAAAGATTAGGGACTAGGTTTGATGAATCCATCCTTTTTACAACTGGAAAATGTTGCAAAACAGTTCAATTCGACTACAAGATTTTCAAAATTTCCATATACAAAAATTAGTTCTATCTTTGCCACTTGACAATTCAATTGTTCTTTTTACAGGAAACAGAATGGCGATTTAGGTCTTAGCCATTTCATTTGACGCATGTTATATTTCACCTGAATGGTATTTGGTGATATTGATAAACGGTATTTGGCGAGATATGTATGATTATGTTTATGATTCTAATGCAATGAGTTACAATCTCAAATCGTTCAGATAACTTTATTATTTTCTCATCATGGCTGTAAATAAGGCGTCCATTTTAGTTGACATTTCTGAAAGTTTTGATTCCATATTGTTAACTTGATCTTTCAGTTCTTTGTTCGAATCCTCCATTTTTTCCACGATATCATAGACGTCATTGACAGATTTGGATATTTCTATAACACCTATAGCACTCTCGCCAATGGATGATTTCTCATTTTTAGCTTCTCTCATATTGGAAATAGCTTGCAACAGTTTTCCATGTAATCGAATTCTTTTTCTGTCGCTAACTTCGCTGTGTTTTTTCATTCGCCATAACTGTATGACGTATTTAATAACATCTGATGCCGCGTGTTTTCTTTCTTTATCTAACTGAGCCCTATAAACAAAATTGTGTACATATTTTTCAGCTCTAGATTGTTCTAATTTCTGAGCTAGGACAGCAACTAACAGCGCAGTTGTTCCTACGCCCATTAATCCAGTCGATACAGCGACAAACCTGCCACAGTAAGAGTTGGGGTAAATATCACCATATCCAACTGTTAAAAAGGTAATGGCGATCATCCACATGCAGTTGAAAAATGTTGAGTGCTCTGGGTCAGGATGGTAGTATATTTCGCAGGTGCGCATTGCCCACGTGCTAGAAAGAAGAATTGCAAGCATAATAAATATTAGGATCGTACCTGGCATTGTTGACATTAACGCTTTAAAAATAAAAACTGTATTAATCTTGACTTTGTTTAATGCTCCCAGACTTTGTGTAGCCGTATTGGTAAGAAGTCGACTGTGCACCACCAGAAATTTCCCTACTAAATAAAATCTCATCAGCATGAGAATTGATAAAATAGCATCTATAGATACATCATGTCCTTCACTCTTAGGATCGGTCACGTGAGTTGTTATATTGCCTGGAATTGGATGAATGGCACAAACCATCAGCTCTATTAAGATTTTCACAAATGTAGCCGGAAAGTTTACTGCTAGTCGCCAGTCTTCTAGACTATTGTCAGTCATGTGCAGTTGTATGCCAATCACGTGATATCCAATTACAGCCATTAAGAGTAAAAGGGTCGATACAGATATACCACTCTTTAAAAATATTGATACGGCATCTGATTTTGTTATCTTATGTGCAAATATAAGTTCATTTTCTACTAGCATGACAATCATTCCTATCAATGCCAGTGTGCATTCTATATTTACACAAATCCGACGTCGTTTGATTAGTGACTTTCGTCGACTAAGTCGATAACTAATATTATCAAATTTTCCAGGAGGTCCAAGTGCTGATAAATCTGCATGACTTCCGTTCTGACTGTCATCTTGCACGTATTTATTATATTTCCCGTTCCGGCGGTCTACTAGGGGAATTCCCGGATCTTCCACCACAGTACTACCACTCATTTTATTCTGAAAGACAAAAAAAAAAGAAAATAAAGAAAAAAAGAAAAAGAGCTTTCAATTTGAAACGTGTAATAAACAAAATATAAGATCATGTTACAGCTTAGTTTTTTTCCATCAAAACAATTGACAGTTTTTTTAAATTTTAGTTCATTTATATGTTTTGGAGTTTAGTGTGACGTCCCTTTTCTTTGAACTATAAAAAAGAAGATGTGGTATGATTGCCAATGAGACAACTCTCCACAAGAGACCAAATGACACAGAAATTAACAACTATAGGTCACCGTACGGCCTTCAACAATGAGCAAAGCCCATACCGCACAGTCAGCTATAAAAGGCCCCGAAATGACAATGTAAAACAATTCAAACGAGAAAACTAATGGCCTAATTTATGTACAAAAAATGAACGAATAACAAATATGTAACACATAAACAAACGACAACCACTGAATTACAGGCTCCTGACTTGGGACAGGCACATACACAAGTACACATTTTTGTTTAGGAGCCAGCTGAAGCCCGCCTTCGGGTGCGGGATTTTCTCGCTGTATTGATTGGTGGCCTTCAACTGTTTTCTGCTCTTTGGTCGGGTTGGTGTCTCTTTGACACATTCCCCATTTCCATTCTCAATTTTAATATAAGAACAAATTATGAATATTTCCTATTTCAGTTGACACACTCAAAACGTCTTATTTCTTTTATTTAGTCACTGCAATACACACATACCTATGTAGCAGTTAAATAAATTTATTCTTTTATTGACCGTTATCATTTAAAGGCACGTGACACCATTGATACACAGTAAATAGCAGATGAATATGAAGGAATGTCAATAATATTGATAATTTACTATAATCAATAAATTGTTTTAATATTATCTACTAATTCAACAACTGAATTAATTTTGGTCCATATCTAAAATCAATAAGAGAGCAATTGAAGAGACACACTTATAAGTACGCTCGTTGCGCTTCGTGCAAAGTGTCTTCATAATATGTGCTAGCTAGGACACTTCATTTCAGATGTCTTAGAATCACCATCGATACATATATCAAATCTACTATATTTATGCCATAATGGTGTACAATTATATTTTCTAAATTTAAAAAAATAAATCCAATTTTGTAAATGAGTATTATATACCAAAATAAATTCAAAACATCATAAATCATACTAACTACGTCATTTTTTTATATTTAAAATCTGCTTGTTCAGCATTTACTAATCTGTAACAGCTGTATCAGTTCAATATTTTAATCTATATTAGAAAACTGTTATAACGTGGATGTAAATGTCAAATTAATTCCCCTGTCATGAAAACCTATTCGATCTCCAATTTGAACTGGTATAAAACTGCTTTTGATACACAGTAAGAATTCTATATTCACATTAATCTGTCTTAACAATTCCTGTCGTTTATTTACATTTTATTTTCTATATTTTTCCTTGTGTGCATATGAATTGTGTTCAACTTAAATCTTTGTTATTTTGTACTTAATATCATCCTTAGAAAACGAATGCTGAACTCCATGCTCCTTCGTATGAATAATTGTACTCTGCATCAAATCATCCATGCGGAACAGAATTAGTAGATGTCAGGACAGCATGTAGTCTTCAGATTCTCAAGAAACATAGACATATTATATACATAGAAATAAGGAAATAGCGACATACTCTTTGAAAACCTGTATCTATTGTTTCAATGACACCAGAAAGTATGTCCTTTTTCAAATTCACAGTATCAATTTCACAATACAACAGGATAATAATTTTGGTTCCGGGGAGGTTCAATTTCATCACTTGTTTACAAAGGATCCTCTGTCCATAGAGAACCAAACATTACCATAATTTATACAAGGTTATTTTCTAAACTGCGATACAATATTTTGAAACAGAGAGATATTTCATTTTCTTGTGTCTTCAACAAGGGTCAAATAACTCTCGTCTGTTCAGGAGTAAAGTGATAAATATCACGGGCACATGATGTCTTAATTATTTTATTATAACTGTATGTTTGGATAAACAATAAGAATACGGCTTATGATTTTACATGATACGTCCATTGGGTATTTGTGTTGACCCTGTCAATTATTGACAATAGTGCGAAAACAAAAGTGCAATAAGAATTTATCAGCACATAAGGTTAACTATAAATTTTCATTCAAATAGGAGATGTGGATATACATCAAGGAGAGAGCAACCTTATAGTACAAAAACTAAGGTTGTTTCTTAAATTCTTTCTAAACTAGGTTAATTTTTGTTATTCAGTATTTATTATCATCACTAGTATTACATGTATAATCTATAATGGTTTACTTTTATAAATTGTAACTTGGATGGAGAGTTGTCTCATTGGCACTCATACCACATCTTCCTATATCTACATAAGTAGTAATACAGGAGGATCATCACTAGTATTACATGTATAAGTAGTAATACAGGAGGATCATCACTAGTATTACATGTATAAGTAGTAATACAGGAGGATCATCACTAGTATTACATGTATAAGTAGTAATACAGGAGGAGTAGGAAGAGTAGTGGGAGTAGAAATAGGTGGTAAATGAAAATGATTAGATGGAGGAGAGGGAGTTGGAGTAGTTAAAGGATACACTACAAACCAGTAAAAGTCTGAAATGGCCTATATCTGTACTCGACTGTACTAATTTTTACTCGACCAGTTTGAATTGGTCTGAAATTTACTTGATAATACTCGACTGTAGTCTGAACCATACTTAACAGTCTGAACTTGTACTCGACCCTTACTCGACCAGTACTTAACCATTTTATACGCGTCTGAACCATGCTCGACCTAGTCTGAACCATGCTCGACCTAGTCTGAACCATACTCGACCTAGTCTGAACCATACTCGACCTAGTCTGAACCATACTCGACCAAGTCTTAACCAATCTAGACCTATTTTTTGTATATATCTTTTGTATTTCATCAATTTAGGAACTGTTTTTAACAACAGCTATTCCCCCTAACTAGAAATTTGAACAACAATTTGAAATTAAAAATGTATTCAATATAGCATTGAAACCAAAATTTCACAATAAACATAATATAACTTCATCACCATTTTCATCAACACTAATCTTATATACATACATATATATCTATCACCTTTAAAATAAAAATATAACAAGCTGATCAAATAATCTCAAAACTGAATTGTGACTAATATTTTCAATGTTATTCAAAATTTTTTGAATGTTTCAGACATATTTTATGGTTACTGGACAATTTTCACCATTAACTTAAGCCTTGTATAGATTTATGGTGTCACTTGAGTTTAGTTAGTAATGCAGTGAACATTTTTTTTATTAAAATATATATAAAATAGCATATAAAGCAACTTAATAAATTTAAAAAATGACACCTTTGTTTTGTTAAACCAAGAATTTAATATAATCATGATAATAGAACTTCCATAGTAATCCTGTGATAAACTTTTAAAAAAGGAAATGTGTTCCAAAGTTACAGTAAAAATTTATTTCAATTAAATTTAAATAATTTTTGTCAAAATTAAAGACATGGCATACAAGAAGCACTTTAATAAGGTTTAATTACCTCAGTACATGTGTGTTTTACAGGTAAAAAGAAAGCCCTATTTTTCTTAAACTCGTGTATTACTTATCTAGTGAATTCAAAAGGCCTTGCGATTTAAGTTTCACAGGATGTTGCAATTTTGAATGAATGTTATTTAGAATTTAATACTCTCTGACCAGGTGTGATCTTTTTCATGAGTTTGCCAAAAGCAGGAGGTATTACTTTATACTTCACCACTAATCAGAAGAACAATTTTTTTAATTTCTTTAATTTTTATCCCTTTTTGCTTTATATTGTATATAATATATCCCAAATTATAATAATAGATATATTTCTAATAAACAATTTCAGTGATTTTGTTGGCTGTTGTTATCTCATTAAAAAGATAATTATATAACTATTGTACATTTTTTGTATGTAACCATGAAACCTATGTAGTTTTTATTTAGGAATTTAGGAAAATTAATTTTTTTTAAAAACACATGCCAAACAAGAAGCACCTTAATAAGGTTTAATTACCCTCAGTATAGGTGTGGTTTTTAGGTAAAAGAAAATCTTTTTTAAAAAAAAACTCTAAAACTTAAAATTAATATAATTAAATTATTATATAAGATAATTTGATTTAACTATCTCATCGATAAATCTGAGAATCATGTAAGAATGTAAAAAAACTGTTTTTATAATATATCTTTATTTTATTGTGGCAGTTGTCATGTCAGTTAAAAAGAAATTTATTTTAACAGTTAAAATTTAGAAAAAGTAGAGGTTATTTGGTCAAGTATGGTTCAGACTGGTCGAGTATTGTTCAGACCTTTGGTCGAGTATGGTTTAGACTGAAAAAAATAGGTCGAGTACAGGTCGAGAATGGGTTAAGACTGTTTCAGACTGGTCGAGTATGGTTCAGACTATTTTCAATGGCAAAGATAAGGGTCAAGTACAAATCAGTACAGTCGAGTATGGTTAAGACTGGGGTCTAGTTATGTCAAGTAAAATTCAGACCAATTCAGACTGGTCGAGTAAAAATCAGTACAGTCGAGTACAGATATAGGCCATTTCAGACTTTTACTGGTTTGTAGTGATAGTAGTAGTAGACGGCGAAGGATTGTGATTACATTAAAGTAAGGAACTCATCAAAAACAGTTTATAGGATATCAAAGTACTTTCACTATGTGTTAAAGTACAGTAAAATAATTTCTCAATTATTTTGAAAACTAGAATATTTTGATTATATAGTACTTTATATTATTACTATCATCACTAGTATTGTTATTACAGTAGTGGTAGTTGTAGAAGTAGTAGTAGAAGGAGAAGGGGTAAGAGAATGAACAGCAGTAAGGAAATGGAGAAGTTTTGTTCAGTGTATGTTCACTGGTGTTAATATGTCTTTTGATTGAGTTAAGCCATTTCAATTGATATTTTATAGTGTGTCTTTCTATGTTGTGATGTTACACTATTG